TCTATCTATCTATCTATCTATCTATCTATCTATCTATCTATCTATCTATCTATCTCTACCCCCGGGGCGGTGCCACGCACTGAAGTGTCTTTAAGCCACTCTTAAAGAGGGGACATTTCTTGTTCTAATGCACAGTAGAATTGTAATTGAGCTGATCCAACAGTGTCATGCTCCTAACTGTGTCTGAACTACAACAGGGAACTGCTGCTTTTTCTTTCCTAATCCTTACTATCATCATTCTTCTACTTTATTTGTACCAGGGTGAGTCAAAAAATAATGCAAGTTCGTTAATAACTTAAAGAAAATAGAACACACTTGCGACTATCATACCTCAAATTGAAGGGGAGCACCTGAGGATCAGATTTCTATTTCTCAATATTAGTCTCCATTTCGTTCAATAGCCACTGTCCACATTTTACTAAGTCCACATATGCCAGCTTCGTAAAACTTATTAGGTTGGTACGAGGGCTACATCAGTCTTAATTTCCCCTTCGTTTCCATAATGTTGACCTGTCAATGGTTCTTTTCAAAGACCGAAAATGTGGAAGTCTAAAAGAGCCAAATTCAGGAGAATAAATTTGGTGTTTTCCACATAAACGGAGTGATTGTCTCCCTTGTTCTGGTACTCAAATGCAGGCGGCATTGTCATGGTGAGAAAAACACTCTTTCCAAGATCAGATTTGGTCTGATTCATCGAATTCTTGCCTTCAGTCGTTTCAGTGTTTCAATGTAGGGTTCAGAATTGACAGTTGTTCCCCGTGGTAAAACAAAATCAGTTAAAAGCACACCATGAACGCCCAAAAACACAATTGCCATGATTTTTCCGGCTGACTCCTCCGGTGACTCTTGTCTGACAAGCATGTGAGGACTCTTCTCCCTCTACTTTTGTCTCTCCTTCATGATATTCATCTATATCACAACTGCCATTCCATTTTAATACGCCAACAATAGTGCATGCTCATCAAATTTTTGCAGGCTGCATTGATATCATTCTATTATTGTTCTGCAGGTACCTCAAGAATATCTCCTTCACTGGCTACACGGGCCTTATCCATTTTGATGAAAACGGAGATCAAATCGGAAGATACGAAATAAAACAAATCCTGCCCGAACTGGTAAGCGACACAGTCGGCAACGAAAACTCCTCAAACAGAAATTTCACTGGAAAACTGCGAGAAGTTCCAGTAGGAATCTACAACATACGAAAAAGGGAGATTATGTATTCGGAGGGCATAGCGCTCTCATGGGAGTACTTTGCTGTCAAGGATCGCATCAGATCTTTGCACCAGGAAAACTCTCCTGAAATGCCCGAGTCAGTGTGCAGCCGCCTGTGTGATCTAGGGGAGTTTAAAATCCAGAAAGAGCTCGAGTGCTGCTGGGAGTGCAGAAGATGCCGAGAGAACGAGAAGCTCATCAACGATCTTACAGAATGCCAAGAATGCCCACAGTTCACCTGGCCTGACCCATCAATGAATATGACTACCTGCATTGCAATCCCTCTGACATTCCCACGACCAGATGACACCTTAAACCTTATCTTCATAATTTTGGGCGTGATGGCTAGTATCTGTACAATCCTTGCAATAGGAGCGTATGTTTACCTTCGAGACGTACGCGTTGTCAAGGCAGCTAGTCGTGAACTCAGCTTCCTTCAGCTCCTCGCCATATTGGTTGGCTACGTCACTGTCATCATCTTCCAAAGCACGCCCACAGACAGTACCTGCAGCGCCCTCTATTTCCTGTTCTGTCTGAGCTTTACGTGGCTTTACTCCCCTTTACTGGTGAAGGCCGTGAGAATCTATAGGATATTCCAGAGCAGCACTAAGTACAATAGAAGACCTCGTTTTGTTAGTCCCAAGTCACAGCTCATCATGTCAGCTTTACTGATTGCCGTGCAGGTAAGTTTGGAAATGTCGTGCTATGCTGGGTCACTTAGAAAAAAATAATTTTGTTTTGTATTGTTTAGTTCTTTTCTTTTCTTGCTTCTTGTGGTGAGGAGGGGCGGTGTTTGTTTGTTTTACCTGCGGTTTATTTTTCTTTCCATTTGTTTTGTTTTTAGTTGCTTTGTTTATCTTTCATGCATACTTTTCATTTTGTTTCATTTATTTTGATCACATAAAAACATGTTTTAAGGTTGTTTTTTTAGGGAGAGGGGTGAGGGCTAGAATTATGGGCTTGAGGGAGGGAAGGGGGCGTGGGAAGACGGGCACCATAGAGCTTAGGGTGATGTCGAGGGGGTGGGGGGGGAGTGGGTCTCTGTTACAAGATATTAAAGAAGGAACCAACAGCAAAGCCGTTTGTGCAATACTGAAAGAAACAGCATTGTGCTCCTTTTCGTGCACTCGTTACAACTGGCATTTTATTTAATACATCAAACAGTACATAGCCCAGAAGCAAACCTTGTAGACTAGAACAGTTTGATTGTGCTGCTTGGGAACAAAACATTGAACTGTATATAGGGAAAAAGCAAACATTAGCGATCCATTCGGATCTTTCTAGTACCTACTATGAAAATCCGGATCTCCATTTTTAAGTAGGAAGCACGTTTGGATCCCATGACTTCTTGCTAAAAGACGTGTTTGATTTATCACTACCTCAGAATTACGAAGTTCTATTCGATTTTTTTTACTGTCATGGGTTACTAAAACCGTGAGGTCATAATATATCAATTTTTAAAATGCTCTATCTGCTCTATCAAAATGGCATGACTGTTCTGAGTCGTTATCAAAATATTCAAAGAACTCCATTCGAAAAAGCTTGATAAATTGTGAAGATCAACATAATTTATTGCGTCAAATTTCTCACAACAAGGTGCCGATCTGATAGAACTTGGAAATTCTAATGTAGCGATATGTTAATTATAGGGCATCAAAGAAGTTTACATTTACCGAATTGTGACTGATTTATTTCCTCCTATGTGGAAAGTTCTACTGCTAATTTAACGTTTTCTTTATTTTTCGTTTTCTTTTTTAAAGTCTGTTTTCAGATCTGTTTGATATGAACACACACACACAAACACACACACACACACACACACACACACACACACA